GTCTGGACACGGATCCAAGTATTTCTACTTCACCACGCATATAGTGACAGAGTATAATCGATTTCTATTTTTTTTTCTCAGATTAGAGCATTTGCAGTGGTGTGCAGTAATATGAATCTATTTTGGGGGAGTGTGATGAAATTTGTTTGGCCTTGAAAAACATTGCAGCATTCGTGAATGCATTAGATTTTTTATTACACCCAGACATTATTGTCTCGACTGTCGATTAGTTGTCTCTACGCCCATTGTCTGAAATGGACGTTACTCCAAGGAAGCGTACAAAACTTGTAACGCTGCACGAATACACTGGCAACCGTTACCAGCGAGAAAATCAAAATACTGGTTTGGAAACTCTCTGGATTTCAAATACAGTCAAGAATCTGTGGTCAATCTACAAGGAACGACTTCGGGGAATGGACATACGAAATACTAACATGTGCACTAGGTAATGTTTCATTGGAAAACTATGAAAAGAATTAAGGAAGTATTCGTATTATGTTACAATTAATTTGCACAAGGGTATATATATATATATATATATATATATATATATATATATATATAGATAGATAGATAGATAGATAGATAGATACAGTTGAATGATAACGCTAACATTTAAAACAAGATGCCTGGCCGCATACACAATTGCGGAAAATCCTCGTTGAAAACACAACTATACTTAAACATGAAAACAATAAACAAAAACTAAAAATTCTTGAAGCTATATACATAAAGCAGTTGAAACCTAGCCTGAACAAAATAAACTATGACATCTCTACAAATATTCTTAAATACCTATAATTGATAACAGAAGCCATTGTTTTATACCAAAGGCTTCCCATACTTAATACTTCGCGTTTTCACTCTCGCGTGGTATGCACGAGTTTGTTGTTGCTTTGACATCTTTCATGCAATAAAAACAGACTATCATTATTCTTTTGTCCGTGTATTGCTGAATATATTGAAATGTAATTGTCATCTTTGATAATGGTTTATGCAAGCTGAAAGCTTAGATTGGATTTAAACATGTAACAATATGGTGATTTCCTTTCGTCTTTCACTGATAATGTTATTAAGCTTATCAGTTAATATGAAAGGAATTTACTTAAAATAAACACACACACGCACACACACACGCACACATTTTGTCTATTTTGCCATGATAAATATAACACATTTTAATGTTGATTAATTGATTTGTATTTTACGGCTTTTCAGGCACTTGCAGTTTATTTGAAGCTGAAGCCAAAAGTTACCCCTCCTTTTCACAATAACGTATCTTTAGGCTTGTCAAATTGCCTGCTGCTGTTGCGAACTTATAGTTGTTAATATTTTTTCACGTGATCGAAGAGGATCAGTAATTTTGCCGCTCTTTATTCCTACTTGGTGCACACTGCTAGCGGGGCGGTCACGTTTATACAGTAACACCAGCAAAGAATACCGGTGCGATCAAGCTCAAACTTCAATCACATGATCACAGCAGAACCAACTCTAAGCGCGCATGAGCAGAATACAGCGAGAGAAAACTAAAGATACATTATGGAGAAAGTTTAGGTAATTTTTGACGTTCTCTCGTAATTTGGATCCTAAGAATACTTCCTTTTTCCAAGTGAATATTGCATTAATAATTTATCTTGAATAAAAATGATTGTTGTAGATACAGTTCTCATTGATTTGCCCATACCTAGATGGAGAAAAGAGTTCATACATTTACCAATGGTTTCTTGCGCCTAAATGTAACAAATCCAACTGGAATTGGAAATAAAATTTTAAAACGTGATTAATAATATATATGTAGATAGAAAGCTGTAATAAATAAATAAATATCGTTATTTTCATATATGAAAGTTATGCGAAGTTTGAAAAGTAATTATTTTTGTTATATGCAAGTGATGTAAGCTTAAAACCATTCCAAAAGGTGGTGGGTGAGAATTATTAGATATTAAATCAGTTAAAAATTAAACGACGCTTTAAACAATCGACATCAAATATCATGAAATTGTGATTCTAATTCCATGTAAAAACATCCTGATTCTTAATTAATTTTTCTTTTCTTTTTATTTTTAGGTCGGCTTGGGTAATCCAAAACATTTTTTCCAATGCCATCACGTCAAACGTCACTATCTGTCGTCTATTGATCATGATCTATTTCTCCTCATTCAAGTTTTATCAGATTCATTCACCCTTTTGTCTTTCATTCTCAGTAACTCTTGGCATCTTAATGGCTTCATAGCCTTGCTTACGGTACAAGGATTAAAAAGATAAATGGAATCGAAAATAAATCCAAATTTTAAGAGCCAAGATAAAGATAAAGTGCACTATTTATATTATTCTGACTATTGTCCTCACCTTTGTCGTACAACGTTTCGGCCGCCGTACGCTCCGGCCTTCTTCAGTATATCTCTGAGATGAGGTATTATGTACATTATTTACATTATTCGGACTATTGTCCTCATCTTTGTCGTCATATTTATTACGCTCCGGCTTTCTTCAGCTGGTTGGAATGTCGAAATGAACCCTTTATTTCGGGGTAGACTGTTCTAGTTCTACGTGCCATGTTTAATGGATGTCATCTATCAGTTATATCCTGTTAATTCCTCTCCAAGTTCGCCACTGCCTTAACCGGGTATTGAACTCACACTCTTTGGGTCCTGTCACTGGATCTAACCAATGTCTTTATCCACCGTGCCATGTTTCCTTGAGGACATATGTGTATGAGTTTCTGGATATTATAAACCTAATGTCTTCAGCAACCATATTTTACAAGTGCTCATATTGCAGTTTTTGCTGTTATAATACATGTTTTTACCAGACCCCATATTGCAATTTTCCCAATCGATAACTGTTGCGTTGTGAAGGCCGTTGGAGATTTATCACTTTCATATTTTCTGAGATTTTATTTGTTTAGTTTTGAATAGTGAATGGCTTGGAACCAAAATGTGTAATGGAGAAGAATTTTATTACAAACCGATCGAAGCCTCATGCTAAACACGTTTTTCAGTTAGGGATTGCAAATAATCAGTATTCATATATTCTAAACTGTTTGGGGAATATGAATTTTAAAACTCAAAAGGGTTTATGCAAATATGCACTAAATTTGGCAAAAATAGCGCCATTTCTTGGATGTCTCATGGCATAGAGATAAAAAGCTCAATAATGACTGGTCACAAAATACATTTAACGATTTTCATGGCTAAATAAATTTCCTGATATGAATCCTAGTGAATAGTTCTTTGCTATTTTGAACCTACTTATAAAATGTTCTACCAGAGTAATTACATTGTTATGTGGATTTCTTATGGTATATTTAGCTTCACACGAGATTTCTCTCATGAGATTTAGATGTTTATATTATTATCAAAGCAAGACTGCAACTTAAATGTTAAATGTAGGAGACAAAAGCATTGACTGTCTGAATCGTTATAAAATAACGAAAATAAATAACATCAAATGAGCTGTGGCTTTAAAAGGCAAAAACTTGTCCAAAACCTCGACTAGACAATCACATTGTCCCGCTCTAGACATTAACTCTACCAAACGGCTTTAACTTAGAAAATCTGTACGCTTTAATATCACTGAATGACATCGAAATTCATATTCGCTTTATAATGGCAACTCATTTCTTTATTGTTTCTCGTCGGCAGCTGATTCCGCCTAGCAGACAATGAATGAAACCCTATGTCAATAGAACTTAGACATTCCTTCCATAAGATTTGGGGGTGAGGGAAAAATTTAGGCCTGATCCTGTCCGGTTTCTAACAAAGACAAAATCGATATCTCTTTAGCCCAGTATTTGTCTTCGCCCTATCGTTTACGACCAATACTTTAACCTTCTGTTGAGTTATCCACTTGATCATGTTGGAAGTAGAGATCTAAAACAGATCGAATTCACAAATTAGCAGAACGGAACGATATGATAGTGGATGGAGAGCAACAGACGGAATCAAGAGACACGAACTAAAATGAGATAGAAACCGATATAAAAATGAAATATAGAAAAAGAATTATAACCCCTGGAAAGAAAAATGAGTTAGGAATACTGAAAATAAGAAGAAAAAAAAAGAAAAAAAAAAGCCAATGAAAGATGTGCATGTAAGAAAAACAGAAGCATTGAGTGAATAGAAATAAATGGAAGAAAATGAAAAACATAAAGAAATAAGCAAAAAAGAAAAGAGAGAATTGATAAGTCAAGAAGAAAATATGGAAGAGGAAATAACAGAAGAAGAAGAAGAAAACAAAAATAGGAAAATTAAATAGTAGAAGAAAAAGGAGATGATGATGAAGAAAAAGAAAACCAAAAATAAGAAAAAATAAATAATAGAAGAAGAAGAAGAAGAAGAAGAAGAAGAAACGAAGAGGAAGAAGAAAACAAAAAATAGGAAAAATTAATTAGTAGAAGAAAAAGAAGAAATGAAGAACAAAACAAAAATAGGCAAATTAAAAAGTAGTAGAAGAAAAAGTAGAAAAAGAAGAAGTAGAAGAAAACAAAAAATAGGAAACATTTAATAGAAGAAGAAAAAGAAGAGGAAAATAGGAAAACTTAAATAGATGAAGAAGAAGAAGAAGAAGAAGAAGAAGAAGAAGAAGAAATATCGATTTATTTTATGAAAGAATTAGAAGATAAACAATGAAGAGTAGGGGAAAGGAAAGAAATTAATGTGTTCTATTAAATATGCGCTCCACAAGAAGTATTTACAAATGGCAAAAAATTTCTAAAGAATAGGAACCGATTTCAGACATAAATGCATATCCTGGAAAGACAAATGGGCGGAAAATCTTCAAATTCCATCATGTGCATTGTCTTAACGTCACAAAACCCCAACATTGTATATTTCATACTAAAATATATTTTACGTAAAATAACAGAACTCCCTTACTGCAGAAACTGTCGCAAAACGATAAATCTGTATCAGCTGTGGTATTTTCAACAGTTCATGCAGATTTAGATTCAATTGAGTGGAACGCCATTAAACCCTGCCGTTCAATCAGACTCTGCACATATGGATATCATTGACGCTGTAAGCAGTGTCGCTGTATCCGAAGAACGAAGCATACAGTAATAAAACTCATGAAACACCAATATTTATAAAAGAATGTGGAATTTTTATGTGTCTAAACGTGCTGATTTTGTATATACGAAGGTTCATACACATGAAATAAGAGCGATAACTATACTAAATGCAAAGCCAAAGTAACGAAACATTAGAAAAACATTGCATTACTAAGTTTTTCCTAATTTTTTAAGATTACCGAGTGCTTAAAAATTAAGTAAAAAGGCGCTCAGTTTATATTCTTCAAATAATATCACAGATAAAAACCCCCGTAGAAAAGATTAGAAAAACACGCATGTTTCATAAAGTAAATAATATTTGTTACAAATCAGATTAACTATATTTTAAAGCAACTAATATTTCTCAAATAGAGATTCAGAAAAGTACATTTTATTTTTGGAAGATTTTTTTAATAAAGAGAATTACATTGTGATAAACGCAGGTTAAAAATGGTACTGAAATCAGATTTTTATCATAAATCTGTCTGCCAATTTAAATTAGGTTTGAAATACAGCAAAGTGTTTTGCTTATTAGAAATGTTAAATTTAATCTATTGACTTCGAAATAAAATCAAAAAAAGCTTCAAGACTGATATTCCATTTTGAAAATTCATTTTAAACCTTATTTATCACGAATTAGTATATAATCATACATCCTAACTTAAATTGACTAATTCGCTGGAAAAAGATGTTATCATGTTGAAGAAATAACCCAGACTTGATAAAAACAATGTTTTAGCGCCAAATGTTTATTAAGAAGATAGACCAAATTATATTTTGATTATTTACTTAATTTTTTCATCTTTTCTTGTATGTTTGAAATTTTGATTAAAAATCTTGTTTTTCTTACCTCATTTCGGGGACCAAAAATTGTAAAAATTCACTGATTTGGAAATTCTTGCAAAAAATCAAATAATTAGTATATTTTAATGAAAATCTCGGGACTTATGCATAAATAAATGAAATTATTATAGAATTTTTTTAGAATATATTTTACCTCCCACTTGCCTCATTTTATGACATTTCCAGAAATTAAATTTTCGCCCATTTAATATTCATATTAGTTACAAGCAGTACTTCTTGGAGAATTTAATTCATAAATTTATTTTTTGAAAACAGAAACACTATTTATCGAAAATCTGCTTTGAACCGTAAAATAATAAATGCAATAAAACTTAGGCATTATTTAATTAGAAATGAAATTAATTTAATTGCTTTTATAAATAAGATATATTAAGGAGAATATAGTCTTGAGAAAAAACAATCGATGTATAATGAATTTCTAAAATAATTGTTTCCATTTTTTAACATTTTATTTAGAATAATTTATGTGTGATTTTTTTTTAAATACTGTATTAATTCCACCCTTTTAGACATGAATATGATGATTATTAAGGAAAATTATATTTACTAATTAAAAATGAAACAAACTATAGTCTCTGGATGTTGACTTCAATGTCTACTGTTTTATATTATATTATATATATATATATATATATTTCTCATTAAAAATAGCGGATTGCGGTTTCAAAATATGTTTACAAGCGGAAAAGAGACGAAGTTGAGTACGCTGATTCAGAATTACTACTTTTTAAAATATTCTTATATAATACTGAACAAAGAACACCTTAATTCCTACTGTACATAATAGATTTATGTTCAATGCAAATACTGTATTAGTAAATAGTACATTTATTTTCAATGGCAATTTAGATGATAATAAGAAATAAAAGAATACATTTTTTTAAGAATATTTTAAAATTCTTATTTTATCGGAAATGTTTCAAAGTCTTGATCCTGTGATTTACACTTGAACCGCGGTCCCTTGTGTAGATTCAGCAATAGTCGGCCCCATATAATTCGGTTGTACTGTACGTGATCTTCCGATTTAATCAGATGTTTTGTCGTGGGGCACTTCAATAAGATGACAGTCACATCCATCAGAGAAAATAAGGAATACAGGAAGATAAATCAGTCATCCTGTTCTTTTCTTTCCATCTGGTTTATTCACTCAGCATATTTTTTCAGCTTAGTGAAACCTGAGAAAGTCCTGTTCAACTGACACTAACAAATTTCCTGTCATCGAAAATCAATCAGGTTTATCTTTGAAATGAATAACAAATCACAATTGTTTGATCTGGCTGTTTTCAGTTTTTTTTTTTAGTTTCTACGTCAAATTTTATTTCCGATTCTGTAATCAACAATCATAACATGTGGTATTGCTCTTAGTGTGCGGATGTGTGCAGTTAATACTTAACGTCTCGGATCCTGAAATCGGCGGCAGGCCTAATTCGAATTCTGGTCCTGTTATTGACGCTCATATGTCCTTCCGAGCTGCATTTTCCAGATTTAAATAAATACAAACATTCCTCGCTTGAACTGATGAATTATCTCATTTCACAATCAATTCCATCAACTAATATATCTCATTCTGACTCACAGCAATGGAAGAATTCTTTTACTATTTTGCAACAAAATATTTTTGAATCTAACTTTATTCCTATCAATAAACAATCTTCAATCTTGAGCCATGAGATTGTTGCCTCATTTATGGATATAAGCATTAATCACTAGAGAAGCAGACATGATTTATTTGAACATGTTCATGGCGAGAAAATGAAAAAATTCTTTTAAAACAGGTCTCGTTCGAAATTGCTCAAATCATAGTTTAATTAAGTATGTTTTATTTCTTTAATTTAGCTGCATACACTTTGTCCGTACGAGCATTACAGAGACTATTGTATGATATGTCATTGTTCTCAGGAATTGGAAAGCAGATTCTCGAAATGTTATGAGACCGTTTTTCGGTTTATAATCTACCTAGGCAATTTTAAATTTATTTTTCTTTGAGAAACCACAAGTATTGGTCGTAAAAAATAACAGCATAGGCAGGATTGATTCGTTCACATTATGTAATTAGTGCAGCAAAAGACATTCAATTTTGTGTACCATTCAACCAGTGATAGTAGGCCTAAGTAGTACAAGGTATATTTGAGATTTCAAAGCCTCCTTTTGAATTCCAAATTTATAAAATCTTTTTTCTTCAAGTAAGGTGATAATGACGCTATCACACAGTGGAAGAGAAGACATTAGTAAAGTGAAAGGTCAATAAATGAACACAATTCAACAAGACTAATGCTGGCCACTGACGTTGCATTTAAATCTTTTGCAGATTGTACGTGACAGGGAAGCAAGAAATCAGTTCCTCGGTTGAGAAGTGCAGGAGAAGAAACCATTTGAATAGTTACATTTACCTATTTCAATAGTAAAACCATGATGTCTATTTTCCAAAGTAGTAGCACGCTTAAATTCATGTGCTCGAGGTACAAAGAAGGAGAGCTCGATTTCCTAAATGCTAAAATATTAATTATAGAAAAGACAAAAGAAAGTCACGCCACGACAAAGTGACTGTGTTCGAGATCTGGTTAGGATAGATAATATTACAGACCATTCCTTGTTGGTTTTTTTTTCGAGAATCTCATGATATATAAGACCAAACCAGATATGGTAGCAACATTCAATGTATGGACGAATGGTCAATATAAAAAATGTGTTAGATGGATTCTGACGGAAAAAAAACTGTCTGCCTAAACAAAGTGAATCAACCTTAAGTCCTAACAAAGGATTCAATATAATCACCCCACTTCATGTCAGTATAAAACATGAGACTAACGAGGCACAATGAGTTCTGCACCTGGAGGTTAGCATCAGCCATGATGATGAATACAGATGGTCATCTATGTTGTGTAAAGGATTGCAGAAGCTTTAAAATTTGTAAATTTTCTTGCCCCAGTTAACAAATGATCCGAGTTTTTTTTTCGAAAACAACTGCTAGTTTTTTTTTATGTTGGACCTCTTGGAATTTCTAAACCAAGAGTAAATAGTTTTATCATCAGTATAAATGTAAATTGATAAAGATGGTCATTGATAAAGATATGAAACAACATAGGTCCAAAGATATTGTACTGCTGGACCGACGCATTCATTTTTAATGACCTAGAAGCGTGGTCGTTCAAAACGTTATTCATTATCCAATTTGATAAAAACGATTGCATTAAGCCTTTGATTTTGTGGAGAAGGCCAGCATGTCTAACCCTGTCAAACACTTTTGAGATATTTAATGGTTCACATTTAAAAACTGGTAGACATATTGATTACTAACTGTTAACATCACGGTGTTTGGGGTAGAGACAAAAGACATATTGTTTATATGAAAGAACGTTGTATGAGGTGATTAATCGGTTGAGAGTTGCTTAGAGCGTCTGTTGCTTTGCCAAATTGTGTTAAAATGTGTTAAACATGTGTTAAAATATGTCTTAAAATGTGTTAAAACATGTTAAAATGTGTAAAAAAACTGTGTTAAAACTGATAAAATGGTAATTCGCGGGGTCACAGGAACTTTGATACAACGGAATCTCACAAACCGCACAAAACTATCTGGCAGATTCGCAGTGACTAAACAGGGGGAAAATTGTAAATTTCAAAAGCATGCAATGCTCAAACAGCACAGTAATGACGCCAACCCATTTAGACTGAGGGTTCATATAACAAATTAAAGCGTGACTATAACAAGGCGCTGTAATAATTTTTAATAATTTAAATCCATGCAAGGCAATATAGCTTCTACATACAAGGGATTACCTGCAGTGAAAGAAATAGAGATTGCAATAAAAGACTGGAATTCAAGGAGACAGGTATTGCATTGACATTTTTGAAGATTGTAGCTGACTAAAAATTAGGAAGCTGGAAGAGAGTTACACAGACGAGAAATAATTAAGTAGAAAATATTTTGTATAGAAATTAAAACAAAGCAATTTCAACAGGGAAATCATGAGACCTATCTGTCAATCATGTACTGTCCATAAATTCGTGAAGTCAGGAATCAGAGAGGAAATCTACATCCAGAACAATTGCCATGAAAATATTTGTTGAAGAGACAAAGAGAGGTTACATTATAACTGTGGGAAAGGAACTGAAGACGAAAGGCAATATCTGGACCGATATCGTATTTTGTCAAGAATTTCTAGACACATAGGAGAAGCACCAGATCAGATGTGGCAGCAATCTTCGATATACGGACGGATAGTAGACTTATCAAGATCAATTATGGGGAGAAAAACTGTCCAGCACGATATAGCAAACACTTTTTTTAGCACCAGATAAATTAACTAATAATATAATAATCATTCCACTTTATTTCTGTAGAAAAAGAAGGAGCGGTGAATGTTTTCTTTTGCAATGCACATGCAAGACAAAAACCTTCTTTAACATCATTAATAGAGAGCAGTTTGGTTTTAGATGCGTTAAAATTTCCAAAGCACATCTCACAACAAATTGTCGAGCATTTTGTAGATCAACTTCCAATTTGCTTTTATCGAGCCTATCGGACTTACTGCTAAGATAATAGTAAATAGATGTTGACATCAGGAAGGGCGTTGATGATAATAAGGAACAGAATGGGTTCAAGAATAAGACGCTGATCTATAGGAATGGGCGTTCAAGATTTGGCAAGGACACAGTCAGAAACAACATAACGTTTCAGCTTCAGTTTCAGTGAGCTCAACTTTTTCTAAGGGCATTTTCAAGAAGTAAACGAAAAAGAATCAACTGGAATTTGAAATCGGCTCCACGATTCCGCTTTCCACGTTACCATTAACCACTGCAGTGTCCACACATGGATTTATCTGTTTAGCTAGCTACAGTCTGGTTGCATCTATCTATCTATCTATCTATCTATCTATCTATCTATCTATCTATCTATCTACAGCATGGTTAAATCTATCTATCTATCATCTATATCTATCTATCTATCTATCACAGCCTGGTTAACTCTATCTATCTATCTATCTATCTATCTATCTATCTATCTATCTACAGCCTGGTTAACTCTATCTATCTATCTATCTATCTATCTATCTATCTATCTATCTATCTATCTGCTGGTTACCTCTATCTCTCTAGCTAGCTAGCTTGCTAGCTACAATCTCTTTACATTTATCTATGTCTTTGTGTGTTCGTGCGTGTTTGTATGTCCCTCAATAATTCTATTCTTTAAATATCAGCACCTAACAATATTCCTGTTGCTAACGATAACCGAATGAAATTCATGAAATACTTGACTGAACAAAAAAAATATACCATTTATCTATACAACAGAGTAATGAAGTTGGTACCCAATGAGGATCGAATTCATATTTAATATTTCTTGTCCTCCATTATTCCCTTGAAACATGTATTTCAAATACGTTCTTGGGAAAAGTGAATTAAGAAAGTTGTATTTGTAGTGATATACACATCCACATCCACGCGTCCGCACTTAACTAGCATAATTCCTTGCGATATAGCCGTTTAAAGTCCATTTTGTTAGCTTTTGTTTACCAATATAACTTCATATTCACTCTGGACTTTCTGTCCGTTTGTTTGTTCACGGCTATCGTTCAATTTCTTCGGCCTAGTCCTGGCCACAAAGTATCGCGAGTGTCGACTGGAACAGCCGTCCTCAGGGACAGGAGAAAAAGGCGGCCGGATGTTCTGCATTCATTCGAGGCGCTTCTCAATACGGCCAATATCAGCCATCGATTTTCGCCTCACTTCTATTCACCCGGGTCTGTCGGCTTTTCCACTCAGACGTGCTCGACACTCATGTCAATACTTGTCCGTAGTTACCATCGTTCATTCATTTTGTCCTTTTCGCATTGCAATCATTCGATTAGACGCCCCTGTCTCATTCAAATGAAAGGATACTGAACACCTGAAGCCTTTTATTCAGGCATTTTTTTTTTCTTTTTGACGGGGAGATTCTAATGTATCCTTTGGCTGATAATAACCCGTTCGTGTTTATGTGATATTGACTTATTGGCTTGCTATTTAAACGCATGAATGTAGCTGTTTTACCACAGGCAATGGAAATGATTTAACCTTCGTCCCTTTTTCATACAACGTTTTGTAAGTAAAAATATATAAAACCAAAGAAATCGTTCTGCATAGATAATTTCCTTGTAGTGAAATGAATTTCTAAAAGAGTAAAATCCAAAAATAGAATTTCCATTTGATTTAACAATTAATTAACAAATGGAACCATTAACTGATTACTTCAGATCATTGCGTTTGGGTCATGAGATTTAAATTGTTTTATCATTTCTCTCCAAGGAAGGCGATAACGCCACTACGGTGCAAGAGGTTACTAGGAGTGAAAGAAAATGAGAAAACTTTAGTGAAGAGAAAGGACAAAAAAAAAAGAACAGGATTCAGAAATATACAAAATGATGATTGATGTTGAATATAATGTTTTGAATATCTTAATTGACATGAACGTAAGAATCTGTTACATCTGGTTATTCCAACAGTAAACTGATAAGACATTATTGTCAATCCGTTAGTACGCTTAAATTCATGTGGTCGGGGAACCAAAGAAGAAAGTTCGTTAGAAAAATTGCCATGAATTATTTGTTTATAATCTACGTCACGTTGGTGGAAAAATCACTGAATCAGAGATGCAAATTCTTTTGGGGATTTTATCAAATATCATATCAATCTTATAGAAAGACAATGCTTTATCTGTCTTCATCATTATTTTCATGAATCAAGACAAAGAATTTACTTGGGGAATAACTCATCAAACTAGCCAATGCTTTTTCAGCCTTCGTCGCCTTCTCTGAAGCGTTTTGATTTAAAATCCAAGGAAATGTATAGTGATATATCTTATCAGCCACAGCAGGAAATACATTGCCTTCTTTACTAGAATCTCTATCAGATTATTCTTTATAAGAAGAAGATTAAAAGATCCCATGGTCGAGCTCGTTATTTCAAAATGAAAGCAAATTTATTCAAAATGGAAAATTTTTAAATCTTAATTAATTGCTTTCTAATCGAAAAGAAGTGTAGTGGGTATTAGAAGATGACTAGATATAACAAATTAGTTAAATTAATAAAATAACAGCAACTCAGCTGTCGTAAGACCACGTGGATGCATCCTCGTTTGAAAAACTGGCATCCGATCGACTACGTCATCACCAAAAGACGGGACATAAAAGATTTTAAGATAACGCTTTCATTCCACACAACATGTTATCTGTCAGATCACGCTCTACTTCGGAGTAAAGCTACACTGCATCTTCAAAAGCGAAGGATTATAAAATCTACAGTACCCAAGCGCATTAACGTACTGCCTCTTAAATCGACTGAAGCGAAAATACAGCTCTCTAACAAACTTGATGCTGCTCTCGATTCTGTAAATATTACCAATGATATCGAATCATCTTGGAAAGTTCTGCGTGATGCAACATATTCTACATCCTTGGAGGTTCTCGGCCTGCCATATCGTAAACATCAAGACTGGTTTCATGACAATAATACAGAAGTTCAGCAGTTTATAGATCAATTACACTCTTCTCATAAATCATAGAGTGAGGAGAAGAACTCGTCCGATAAGAAGATCGCTTACAGGAAGTGCAAAAGTCAGGTTCAACGAGCTCTCAGGGCCATGAAAGAGCGTCGGTGGTCTGAAAAGGCCACTGAACTCAAAGAAGCTTCTGATAGAAAGGATCTAAATGCTTTCTATGCTGGCCTCAAGAGCACTTTCGGACCTCAGAAAAGTGGTGTTGCTCCAATCTCCACAGCAAATGGCGAAACTCTTTTGACGGATAAGTCAGACATTTTAGATCGCTGGAAAGAGCATTTCGAACCTGTGTTAAACACCACTTCCCTTACTGGTGAGGAAGCCATCACTTCAATTGAGCAAAATCTATTAATTCCGGAGTTGTCTTCTGTACTTACCTATCAAGAGGTAAGTGACTCCATCAAGAAAATCTCACGTGGAAAATCACTTACTCCTAAGGATCCTATTCCACCCGAAGTGTATAAGCAAGGTGGCCAAAAGTTGGTAGAAAAGTTATATCTCCTTTTCGTGGCGATATGGAAGGCAGGCTGTGTCACACAAGATTATAAAGACGCCTCTATCAACACCTCTACAAAAACAAGGGATTCAGGTGTGTCGGGGGATATCACAATTTTCAATTGCAGGCAAAATCCTAGCTGACTAATTCTAAACAGAATCATTATACAGCTTGTTGACGACATCTATCCTGAACCGCAGTTTGGTTTTCGGTTGGGTCGTGGCACCAATGACTTGATATTTTCTCTTCGTCAAGTTGCAGAGAAGGTTCGCGAGAAAAACAAGGACTTGACGAAGGCCTTTGACACTGTGAATCGAGAGGCCCTTTGGCAAGTCTTGAGGAAACTCGGCATCCCTGTTAACATCCTAAAGGTCATCATCTGCTTTCATGAAGGTATAAACAAGCTAATATCGTGTCTTATGGTAGGATGCCAGATTCCTTTGATGTCAAAAATGGCATCAAGCAAGGTTGTGTCATGGCCCCTGCCGTTTTTGCCATTTTCTTCTCGGCGATGCTGAAATATGCATTTTCAGATACAGAGAGCAGCGTCAAGTTTCAGTTTCGAATAACTGTTGGTCTTTTCAATCATCAGTGCTTGAAAGACAAGACCCACCTTCTTACACAAATTATTCGTGATTTGTTGTTTGCTGATGCTGCTGCTCTTGTTGTGACATCCTTTGAGGAGGCCCAACATCTAATAACTCGTTTCTCTGCTGCATGTAAAGCCTTTGGTCTTTCATTTAGCATAAAGAAAACTGAAGTAGTGCACCAACCTTGTCCTACTTCGAAGCAATTCTATGGTGAGAAACAAAAATCACTAGTCTACAAATTTCCAGAGTGACAAAGCCCTGAACTATGTAAAGTCTTTCATTTATATTGGTTGCAAAGTCAACTACAGTGGAACTTTAGATGATGAACTCATGCATCTGATTGCTAAGGCTACCAGTGCTTTCAGGAAACTTCGCCATCGCTTGTGGAAAGAGCGGGGTATTCGACTGGGTACGAAATTTCGGGTTTACAGAGCTGTTGTACTTGCCATTCTTTTGTACGGATCAGAGATGTGGAATCCATACATGTACCATATACCCAACTGGATATTTTCCATAAAAGCTATCTGCGTGCAATCTCCGGAGTTAACCTTCAAGATAGGACATCTAACGTAGACCTGTTTAACAGGTGTAATATTGGAGGAATCGAGACTTTTTTCATACAGCCTCAGTTACGGTGGACTGGTCATGCCTTGAGAATGTCTGATGACAGGGTACCCAAGATCCTAATATACAGCCAGTTAGACCAGGGCTACAGGAATGTAGAACGCCCATGGCTAAGATACAAAAACAAGCTGAGAAACAACTTGTCAGCAGTCAATATACCACATAACACCCTTGAGCGCTTAGCCTTGGAGCGGGTAGAATTGAGATCAACTTGTTTTAGTGGACTCAGCAGTTTTCAATCTGCTTGTCTGAATCATTTTTAAGAAGCAAGAGCAAGATCTAAAAGGTCAAACAATCTAGCATTGATCTCTTCTCACAATCATCACTCTATGTGGCCTCCTTTGTAAAACACTAGCGGGTCTTAAGTGCTACTTAATATTATCGCACAAACTTTCATAACTGAATCAATTAAGCAGTCAGATCCTCAAACGTCGAAACTGACGGGAGAGTCCATTATATATAATGGATGGAAACTGTTTCCTGAATTTTTCTCAAACATACCCACTTCAAAAAATCTTACTTTTTGGTTGGGATGAGAACATTCTAGAAAACCTTAGTGATACGAAAGCACTTTAGTGAAAACACTTTATGACCTGGTTGCAAACTATTTGACAACACTGTAAGCAGTTCGTATCTAGAAAAATTATATTTTTTCTGCTGCTATTTTTGCAGTTGAGACGAATATGAATTAATTTTTTAATAGACACTAAATAATTTTCATATTAATTATTAAAATTAGCACATTTTGCAGATCATGTATTCCACATTCACTTTCAGAATTCGTCATATTTACCGTACAATTAATATATACTTGTATAACAGATTCCGATTAAATAACTTACGTGAAACATTTCAAGAATTAAAAATTCACACGAACATAAGGATGCCTTCATATGACGTAAACACAACCATTGAAAAGAAAACAAATAATTAAAAATATTGAAATCCACATAAAGACTAGTCCCATAAAATATAAAAGGGACGCATACAAAACCAATGAAAACAACAGACTTTAAAAACTGAAACATACCTCAACATTATCCGACTTCCATAGTTTTCTGATGAAGCTAACTACATATAAGAGAAAGATTTTCTTGTTCCATATTTAATTAAACCATGAATGTTCAGTGAAAAAGATATTTGACTCATTTTCCAGAATTAGAGCTCACTCTCATTTTGACTGTAATAATTGTGGCTGTCCGTCGAGAACGAGGGTGATGCTCTTGTTTTGTTTGCCTGAATCGGTTCGGTTTGTGGATTCTGAGATAACTGACTTTTGCTTGAAAACTCCTTCAACATTGAAGACAGGTTCTTCGAAATTCTCTTTAAGCCTTGGTTGTTGTCGTTGTCTTTCTTTTTGACATCTTCTTTTTTCTCTCTTGTTCGGCTGCTCGTTTGGATTCGAAAATTATTGTTCCTTCTTTAGAAATGGATCCTCACAGATTGCTGTCCATTGCAGTGGATTCCCAGTTGTTGATGTTGATGTTGATGATACATTTCTTCATGCTTTATTTTAGAACTTACTGGAATCTCTCCTCATACGCCTCCTCTTTTTCTACTTTCCTTCTTTAGGCTGGGAGTAAAAAAAATGTTAGGTGGGCGTCATCCATTTGCACCAGAAGTTGAAT